ACGGCGGTTGCGGTAGGGAGCAAGGACAAACACATGTGTTCCATCCGCCGTGTCCACAGGGGAGCCCTGTGTGTGTGTTACCTTTGTTTACACTGATTTTCTAGGGGTTATGATTTAGGATTATGCAGAAATGGCATTTTCTGTACTCCTGGCTCCTTGAGGTGCTCTAAGGATGGAATGGGACAAAAGGACCTAGTCCTCAGCTGTTCTGAGCTTAGGGTCTGCTGGAAAAATAACTGTGACGCAAGGGGCTTTTAAAAATGCTCTGTTGTGTTACAATGGACAGTGTCACGTACCCTGAGAACCTACGACAGGAGACAGGATGCATTCCAGAGACAGGGTTTTGAAGCTAAGGTGACTGGGAGTCAGCTAGGAACCAGGGGGAGCTGCTCCAGGCATGTGCAAAGGCCCTGAGGTGAGGAGGAGGGTGGTGCTTCATTCAGGGCGTGAAATAAAGCTAGTCAGGTGCCACTGGAGAGTCCGCGGCCTGGGCTGCTCGGCAAAGGCCTGATGGCCGCAGGAGAGTGTTGTGGTTTGTTAAGATTTTATTTGTTATTTGAGAGAGAGAGAGAGAAAGGGAGTGCTCAGGCAGCGGAGGGGCAGAGGGAGAGGGAGAATCTCAAGCTGACTCCGTGCTGAATGGAGAGCCCAACACAGGGGCTTGATCCCATGGCCCTGAGATCATGACCTGAGCCGAAATCAAGAGTCAGATGCTTAACTGACTGAGCCACCTGGGCGCCCCAGGAGAGGGTTTTAACCCAGACCACGTCTTCCCTTCAGAGCTCAGAATTTTGTGCAGAGGGCCTGACCCGGCCACCAAGGCCACCCTGAGCTGACTGGTGGGAGGCCCAGGGCCCAGCAACCTCGCACCCCGGTCCCAGCTCTGCCCTGTGTGGGGCTCCACCTCTCCCCCTCCAGCTGCTTCCGCTGTGAAGGGGCTGACTTCCCACAGGGCGGCCGGGATGGTGGCCGTCAGACCCTGCTCTGCTGTCGGAATCGTCTGGACTGAGATGTGGGTCAGGGGAGCCCATTAATGGGGAGCCGTTGCCTTGAGAGGTCCCGGGATGGAGCTGAGGCTGAGGCGCTCGGGGCTGGAGATCTGTTGTGTCCCACAGAACAGCCGCAGGGCGGGGCCGACCGGCTCTGAGTGGGCTTCAGGGTCAGACCCAGGCACCTCGCTGGCACGCTCAGGCCACTGGAGAGGCGGGACGTGGACCGTCAGACCTGGGCTGTCCTCCTCAGAACCGCTTGCGTATCTGAAAGTGTTTCGTGTGGTCTTGTCTGCCTGCGCGTCTCGACAGCCCAGGGAGTAAGGAGCTTGGAGCAAACGGCTACACGTCGGCAGCCCACGAGAGCCGGGAGGCTGGCGTCGATCCCGAGCCCGGGTCAGCGGTCCCGTGGGGCACAGACCCCGGTCGTCGCCACCCCTGCCCACCCAGCTCTTTCCCCAGCAAACTGGTAAGAAGGGGATTAGACCGCAGTAGTGCCTGCACTTTTAGCCAAGTAGAGACGTGGGCTCTGCTGGCCAGTGCCGCCGCGCGCTGGGGCCCCGAAGAGGCTTTCTGCGGGGAAGGTCCAGCCGTGCACCCGCCTGCCTCTTGCACTCCCCAACTCTCCAGAGTAAAACCTTCCTGTGAATTTCAGACTGTGATCTGGCTCTCCAGAGCTCTGTGCCCAGAACCACTCCTTCATCCTGACGTCTCTCCTCTCGGGGGTGAAGCACTCTCCTGCTGGCCTCTATATAACGGAGAGATGAAAAGCAGTTTAGTTTTGTTCTGTGTCCATCCCATGAGCTTTCCCAGCTGCCTTCTGTGACTCCAGGAGGAGCCAGGCGTTGGGCATAGATGAGGAGCAGGGGGTGGAGGGCAGAGCCGTCCAGTGGCCCCTGTGGGCATGGCTGGGGGCAACCAGCGGGCCTGGGCGTGCCAGGTCAGAGAAGAGGTGGCATGGCCCTTGGACCTTGGCATCCATCCCCGGCCCCCACCGCCCCTGCCCACCCTCCACACCTGGGCTCTGGGTGACCGTGTCCTCTCTTTGGCTTCTACTTGTCCATTGCCTTCCTTGTCCCTCACCAAGGACTCTTGGAGAGCCTTGCAAAGGGCTGCTGAGGGGAGGAGGGGTGGGGGTGGCCCAGAGAGGAAAGACAGTGGTGGTAGGGGGGCACATTCCCCCAGCCAGTGCAGGTGGAGAGCAGGGTTGAGGGCAGGGGGGCAGGAGAGGGCGAGGGCGAGTCTGGGCCCCAGAGTGTGGGCCTGGCCCCGGGCCTGAGTGGAGGGGCCCCAGGCACGAGGTCTCCATCCCGTGTCTGGTGATGCCCAGATGTGCACACAGCAGGCGAGGTCTGGGGTGGGCGGTCCAGGATCTCTCAGTAGACCTGATGAGGCCACTGGTCTGCTGCGCTGGCCCTGCCCACGTGTGGTCACCACCAGCAGGCCCAGCCTTGGGGGGGCGTGGCTGTGGCAAGGCACCTACAGTGGGTGCAGAACTGTGGTCACCGCGGACCCCAGGGGTCTCGGGTGCTCGGTCACTGGGACCTGGAGGAGCATCCTGTGAGTGCCACGTGCAGGGCCCCAAACCCCACCCAGAGGAAGGTGCCGCTTGCTCTGAGGAAAGGCTGTGTCAGAGTGGTGGCATCTCCAAGGCAAAAGGCACATCTTTTATTTATTTAATCCAAACCGTCGTGTGAATTATTCATTCACGTTTACATAGGCGATTGAACAGCAGTGTAGGGGGTAGGTCAGAGCACTGACTTTGCTCCTGAATCACAGCCAGAGCCCACGGCGGCCCCTGAACTCGCTGTGTCAAGGCGTTGGCCCCTGAGAGTCACAGCCTCTCGCCTGACCCGCACCAGGCCTCCAGGTCAGCGGGGTCAGAGCCCTCTTTACGCCTCTGACGGGCCGTGTGACCTTGAGGCCGCTCCGCTCCCCACGCCCCCCACTCTTGCCCGTCAGAGGGTGACATGGGACTTGCCTCGTGGTGTTGAGCGGCTGCGCAGGGTAAGGTGTGCGTGGTGCCTGGCGCCGAGTGCCCCTCCCAGGGTGGGTGGCAGGTGGCCTGGCTCATCTGCTCCTGACCCGAGCCCCGTCTACTTGTCGGAGTCCATGAACTGTGGAAAGGGCAGCATTTTGGTATCTGTGGGTAAAGGGGCTCTTCTCCGAGGTCAGGCTGCGTTATTACCGAAATTTAATTTTTCCTAGTGGACATCTGAGATCCATTAAAGGCAGTGCAGGCTCTGACGGGTGAAATATCACCTCAGAACTTTGGTCAGTGAATTTTCTCTTGTGGAATGGGTTTTCCTCCCACTAGCAGATCCATCCTCGGTGGGCTGGCCGAGAGACTTAGGGAGGAGTGCGGGGTCAGAGCCGCCAGTTACCCCTTTGATTTCATAGTCTGATTACTCGATTAATCAAGGGCTCCGTGCCCGCGTCCTGAAGGAGAGGCTCTCTGCTCCAGAGTAACAATGTCCAGCAGGGCCAATTGGAGCTCTCTGATGAATGGGGCACAGGTGAGGGCAGGGCGTGTGGCCAAGTGGATGGACACGCATGGCGGAGGGGCCAGAGGAAGCCGTCCTCTCGTATCAGGAGGCCTCGTTCAGAGGGAGAACGCAGAGTTGCAGGCAGTGCAGACGAGACCCAGGATCTGTGTTCATAAGCCCAGCACCGTCCGGAGTGTGTGTGGGGCAGGGGTTGTCGAGAGCTTGGCCTAGGACAGACAGCCTTCTCTGTGCCAGGTGCTCATGGCCAAGCACTGAATCCCACAGGTCCTTCTTTGTAAAGCCGAGAATCGGCACCCTCCACGTGGCCTTGTGGCGGCTGCGCAACCCCCACCATCGGTGCTGTGTCCTGAACCCACACAGCACTGTGCTGTGGCCCCATGGACCTAGCTTGGTTCTCGTGATGCCCCTGCAGGCGGCTGTGTGCCTGACACACACCCAGGAGCTGGAGGATGATGGGCTCGAGGCCGCAGGTCAGGACGGGCAGAGCGGCTGGAGGGTCTCCGGTGGGTTTCTTTCCCTGGAAGGCAGGCTCCCCGTCCCCTTCACCTCCTCCAGGAAGTGACCCTGCCCGCATCTGCTCATATGAAGCTGGCTGACGTGACTGCCTGCTCTCAGCCCCATCAGGGAGCTGGTGGTTGGCGGGCCTGGGCTTCGGCCTGAGGATGAGGGGTTGCTGTCACTGCCATGGTGGGCAGGGCTCCAAGCCGGGCTGACCAGCTCCGAGGCCGGGGGCTTTCCCACCACCCCGTCGGCCAGCCAGACTCCCATCCTGCCCAGGGCACCCCTGTCGTCAGCTCCAGACGGGACCACCAGGGAGCTCCTGGCTTCAGAGGTGGCACTTGTGTTTGAGGAGAGCCAGCCTCGCTAATTACTGGGGGGATAACCGAGGTTTAATTACCGGGAAGGCACCTTGGGTGAAGCATCCGTGGTAATTGCTGTGTAGCCTCCTGACGGCTTTGCACTTGGCACAGCTGGTTTCTCCCGTACAACCATAAACCGTGGCAGGAGTGACAAGCAGGCCTGGGGGCGGATGGGACCCGGGGCCCTGTCTTCACCTGGTGGCCTTGTCTCCGGAACATGATCAGGCATCTCTAGGGCATCTCCTCTCAAAGCCCCCCGTCCGCTCAGCACTTCTCCGTGCTGGCCCAGGCGGGTGGGCATCCAGCCCCCCAGCAGGAACCCGGCTGCAGCCGTGCATGGGGACCCAGGACCGGCGTCCCCAGTCGGTGACTGAAGTCTGCGGCCGGAGGGCTGGTGCTCACACCCCCATGTCCCGACCTGGGACGACTTCTGTGTTGCCCCTGTTGTGCCTCAGAAAGGGACTGGGCCGGGGGTGGAATCCGGGGTGCAGAGCCGGGAAGATGTCTGGCCTGTCCGTGCCGGGCAGGACCCCGTCTCCTCTTCGACCCTCCGCCCGGTGATTCTGACCCGGGCCCCCTGCTGCCCCCCTGAGCCCCCCCTTCTCAGGGCTTGTAGGCTCACCCCCTTTCCTCTCCCCCCTCAGAGCTGAGGAAGCAGGTGGAGAGCGCTGAGCTGAAGAACCAGCGGCTCAAGGAGGTCTTTCAGACCAAGATCCAAGAGTTCCGGAAAGTCTGCTATGCGCTCACGGGCTACCAGATCGACATCACCACGGAGAACCAGTACCGGCTGACGTCCATGTACGCGGAGCACAAAGCCGACTGCCTCATCTTCAAGGTAGGACCTGCCGTGACCCGCCGTGCACGCTGGTGGGAGCAGCCTTGCCTCAGGCAGGCATGGTCCGTGGGGCTGGGAGGGGGCGAGTTTGCTGACCCTCGGCCACCCGCAGCTCTGCCCTGCGGCCTGGGGGCCTCTTGCGGGACGCCTCCAGCTGTCTGCCATCCCCCTGTTGCTACACTGGTCCCGTTGCTGGGAGGGGCAGGGCAACAAGGCCCCGGGTATCCTGCACCAGCCGCGCTCAGGGGACAGCTGAAGTAATAGGGTGAGGGTCTGTGTTGGGCCAGGGAGACGGCCTTGGGACTGGACCGTGGCAAGGTCAGCGTGCCGCACCGCAGAAGGATGGGAGAGGGATGCTGCTCGACCTCTATGGGACGCGCCCTCCGGCTTGCTGGCGAGGCCAGGGCTGGGACCCCAGGCACGCAGGGGGGCAGGTACCGCGCGGCCTGTGTTGGCCCCAGACTCTCTCTGGAGATGCTGCTGGGGCGCAATGCCTGGCGTGGTGGGGGCTCCCACGGAGGAGTTGTGCCCGTGTCGAGGCCTGAGGTGTCCTCCAGGTTGCAGGGCTGGGGCACTCACCAGGAATGAAGCACCTGCCTGTGAAGGGCGAGCGGGTCCCAGTAGCAGGGCTGGGGGCTTACTGCATCACTGGGGCGGCCTGGGGAGGCTGCCTGCCCGAGCTGGAATCTGGGTGAAAAGGGCTGGTCCCACCACCGCCCCACTGGCCTGACCTCCTGACCCCGCCCCCCCGTGAAGACGGCGCTGTGGGCTGGGCAGGGTGCGGCGGGCGAGGCCGCGGGAGGCCAGGGTCCCCAGAGAGGCCGCCACTTCACGTTGCCACTGTGTGGAGTGGGCCATCCACCTGTCACTGCCCACATCTGTAGAAACAGCCCGCTTTTCTTTCTGTTCTTGTATAAAAAGGGAACAGCCTGTGTGTTGTGCACGCTTCGAGCAGAATGCAATAGCAAACGAGATCCTTTCTGTCTCATTTCATCGTGCGCTTTCTGGTGAACCCATGACCAGCCAGCCGCTTGTGGTAAAGGTGCTGGCCGCGCCCAGAGGTGCCAGGTCTCAGGCTCAGGGAGGAGCCGCCCTGGAGGCCGGCACCCGACCCCGACCTCCTTCCTGGCGGCCTCTCCTCCTGAGGTCAGGACTACACCTCAGCCTGGTGTCTGCCCCCCAGCGTCTCCCAGCGTTTCCTCCCAACTCCCCTGCCTTCTTGGGTCACGTGTATCCGTTTCTACGTTTCTCGAAACTCCTCAATCCTCAAATAAGTGAAACACTCAAACACATAAAGTCTCTACGTAAACTGTCAGGAACATACTTCTTCACTCCTGTTCATGTGATTCCCTGTGCCTTGGAAGAACTCGGCATCGCTGATCGCTGTTCCATACCTTGTAGAAATCCCACGGGTCTTTAAACATTAAGTACATTAACAAAGATGTACAATTTTTACAAGCCCCATTCACTCTGGCAGCCAATGCACAGTGGACACAGGCCGAAGTCACTGTCAGACCCCCAGACCCTCTGCCGTCCCCTCCACCCCCCGATGCCCTGCTGTCCCTCCCTACCTTCAGCTGTTCCCCATGGCCCAGGCCTGGCTGTGCTCAGCAACCACCACCCCCCCCTGCCCCGCCCAGGCACGTGCACCGTGCCCCCAGCCCTGGCTGGGGCCAGTGGAGGAGCCGCTTGCCGGGCTGTGGGTGAGCGCAGAGCCTTTCCGTGGCTTTGCAGAGTCCTGGAAGCATGGGCTCCCGGTTGCTGCACCCAGCCTGCAGGGCAGCTCTCAGCCCTCCGGGCCCCTCCTCCTCCGCCCCAGGCCCAGGCGTTAGCCGGCCGGGAGCGCCGGGCTGTGGGGAGGACTGGCCGGAAGCAGGAGCTGTTTCTCTCATTTGTCCGTGGAAATCTCAGGGGTGGTTCCATGTAACGGGCTGGCGAGTTCCGTGTCCTTGTCCAGCCTCACCGGCCTCTCCACAGAGCAGGGGACCCGGCACAGGACAGGGCGGTCCCTGACCGCTCGGTGGGGTCACCCCCACCTGGACTCTGCTCTCGGCGTTCCCCCAGATGCCCTGGTGGCACTCTGGAAGACAGCCACAGGCCAGGCAGCTGCAGCTCTGCTGGACGGCGTGAGAGACCGCGACCGATGGGTCAGGGTCTCCTTCGGCAAGTACTGACGCTCTGGGGCCTCCCAGGATGGGAGGGAAGAGGGGGGTCCATCCCGGGAACCAGAGCCTGGGAGCATGCGTGTGCGCACGTGCGGGTGGACATCCGCGTGTGATAGGCGCACGCGCAGGCCCACCCCCGCCCAGACCCCCAGCAGGGCGTGGGGGCACAGTCTTCTCGGGCCTCTCACGGGGCCCTGCTTGTCGGGACCCAGTGCCTTGCGGATGGCTCTGGACAGGTGGCTGCCTGCCTCCCTGTCCCTTGGTTCCCTGGGAGCCCCGCTTTGCTGAGGACACTGGAGGTTTTCTTGTCGTCTGCAGTCACGTCACCCCATGGTGCCTGGTGCTGTGTGGTCATGAACGGGTGGGGGTGTTGCCTTTCTTATCCTAGCTCTTTAGGAAGAACTGGAAGCTGCGTGGGGTAAAACGAAGGGACAGGGATCTGGAGCCGGCTGGGGGCCCCAGGCACACCCTTGCTGCCCCCAGCTTGTGTCTCTTCTTTCAGGGTGAGGCTGTAAGTCCCCAGGATTCTGGCGTGGGCTCTGGTCCTGCCACCTCCACCCCGGGCCCAACATTGGACCCCTTTGTGGGTCCCCCTGAGGGGCCTTCCCCTCCGTTCTGCGGGTGAAACCCACCACGCCCCGCCCAGCCAGTGCACCCATCCTCCACGGGACACGAACCTGCCTCCTGGGCTCCCTGACATGGCAGTGAGGACCTGCTGGCCTCAATCCCTCCCACACACCCCCAGGGCCACCCCGGCTGCTCCCTCCCTGTGCACATCTCGTGAGGCCTTTCTCGGAGCTCAGGGGCCACCCAGCGGGAGGGGTCGGATGAGGGGTCCGTCCTGTCATCTGGCTCAGCCTTCCATCCACAGACACACTCCCCATCTCCTGAGGTGCGGTCAGAGCCCCTCAATGCCGGTCCCCTGGCACCAGCTGCCCCACCCCGGGCAGTGCTGGGCAGGGCCCCGAGGAGACGCCCGGTGCTTGCGTGCTGCGGGGCCCCGGCTCCCTGTGTGTCTCCAGTGGCAGAAAGTGCTGGGCTGCAGGGAGCAGCTTGCCCCCAAAGCATGGCGGTCATGGCGGTCTCTGCAGACTCTGCGGACGTGTGTGCACACGGTCACTCGCTCAGCCGACCAACACGGAGCCCCTGAGCTCCTCCTGGGCAAGGGCTATGAGGCCCTCGGGGGCCCCACAGAAGGCGTGGCTGGAGCTGCCAAGCTTGTCAGGACGTCTCTAACCCGGGACTGCAAGTGACTGCCAGTGATTTACCTGTCACCTTTGCCTTCAGCGACAGGAGGCCCCGTCCCACCCTGTCCACCGCCCACCTACCTGCACAGGGCCTGGCATGTGCAGGGTGCTCGTGGAGGATAGACAGATGGGGAGAAAGTGCAAGAAGCTAAGTAGAAGCCAGACCGACCCTCGGCAGACATTCACTGCCAGGGGACCCAAGAGGGGACATGAGGGGCCCAGGAGCCATCCCACCCTTGGCTGGGTCACTGCACCCTGTGGGACTCAGTTTCCCCACCCACAGTGGCAAGCTTGGTCTGGATGCACCCTGGGGTCAGAAGCCTTCGTTGGGGCAGCAAGGGAGGCCTCCCTGTGGGCTGGCGGTCCTGAGTGGGAGAGGCCGCCAGACAGAGACCGGCCCGAGAGACGGGGTGACCCACCGGCCCCCACGCAGTGTTGGGGTCCTGCCGCCTGGGGGCTGACGGTGAACTCACACGGTGGCAGTGGAATCAGGCTGGAAGGGGATCACGGTAAACTGTAGCCTCCTGGCCCCTTTGGTTGATTTTATTTTATTTTCCCAACGATGATTTTTCAGGCAGGAAGGGGGCCCGAGGCAGAGTTAGAAATAGCTGAGCACCATTCCAGTTGAGTGGGATCTGCAGATGTGCGCCGGCATAATTGAGGGTTTGGGTTCACCCCACGCGCTCTGTGCGAGAAGACACGGAGCCCACCGGCCCGGCCGTGGCTGCCATGTGGATGGGAGCTGCCTGCCCCGGGGGGCCGCCACTCCGCGGATGGCAGGAACTCTGGCCAGGCCGGGCCCAGGAGGGGCCTGGCTGCCCTCCCAGCCCCCACCCCCGCCCCAGAGAACGGGGTCCCCCGCGCGCTCGCACTAGCGCAGGTGCTGGGGAGTTCCCAGGACCACCCGGAGCCCTGGTTTCCGCGGCCTGTCGTGCTGTCTGGCCGTGGTTCCCAAGCTCTCCTGCCCGCCCCCCCCCATCCTGCAAGAAGGCCCTGATGGTAAGGACGGTGGGTGGGTCCCGTGCCAGCGCCCCCGGGGCAGGCTGTGGACAGGGTTGCTGCAGGACGCCGTGGTGCCCTCTTGGCCCGGCCCTGGGGATTGCTCGGGGGCAGTGGGCAAGGCGGGACATGGCTTCCGGCCTCGGCAGAGCGGCTCGCGTGAGGCATAGCCACACCTGTGTCTCCCCTGGTGCCCCCGGGTCTGTCCAGGGCACTGCTGGGGGCTGTGTGTGGACTGTAATGCTGTGTGCGCATCCCGTGCGGGCCAGAAGCCGGACGTTCCAGGGCCACTCCTCTCGCTGCGCGAGGGCTCCGGGGCCCAGGGACTGCGGGAGCCTGTCAGGTGCTGACCCTCTGCTGCATGTTGCTCCTTGGGGGTGTGGGCAGCATCCCGTAGCCCCCACGCTTGCTTGTGTGGATTCAGGTGCCTCCAGGAGAAGTCTGGCTCATGTGGGGATGTCACTCCTCTCGGGGGCTCTGCCGCGGGGGACTTGGAGGCACGTTGGTGCCAGCCGGCTCCCCAAGCCTTGCCCTGGAGCTTTCCAAGGGTCTCCTTGCCCCTGCTCTGCGCTATAACCAGTGTTCAGGG